CCCCCCCCCCCCAGAAAGATGCAGTGTTAACATTTTATTTTAAGATTTAACATTTGTAGATTGTCTAAAGCAAAAGAGTTGTAAAAATTCTGACAATCTTTTAGAGCTTATGATTTGTTAAAAAAATTAAAACGCATTGCACATTAATGAATAAATCGGTATATATATATAAAATTATTTAATTTACAAGTGTCATGTTTGTGATTTTTTCATGTAAGCTATAGCTTCTGACCTTTAAATCAAAACATACTCATGATTTTATGACATCAATTACTGCTTTATTTAATCAGAAACACAGTCTAAATGTTATTGGTGTAGGCTATTTTACTTTTAATTTAATTAGAAGTAGGCCAACAGCACCCCCTACAGATTAAAACTCCTTACAGAGTGGGCTTTAGGACCCGGGGGAGCACATGTGAGTTAATGTGTTCCTCTTATCGGCAAGACATATCGGCATAATTTGATTATGAATACTCAGCATATCCCCCAGCTCTACTGAATAGAATTAATCTCGGTCACACTCACCTCCACCTGAAAGCCTAAAACAAACGCCTTCACAAAGTCAGCAGCTCTGGTCAGAGCGCCGATGTCTGACGTTTCTCTGCACGTCTGCAAAACAACAGCGCTTCGCTTCATTCGCTGGAAACGATCTGGCACTACTTGAGATGATCATTCCCCACTAATAACACGAGCTATAATAATTGCCGGCACTTACTTTAATCTCCACGTTCCTGGTTTTGAGGTTGAATCGCACCTGGAGCTGCAGATGTTCAACGATGGGTGTGAACATCATCCAGCTTTCTTTCAGAGGAGTGTAATGGTGAGCAGGAACAGCCACCTTACGCATCTCAACTATGAAAAACAAACAACAACACCGCTTCACTTCTCAGGTCAGCAGCAATCAAAATACACAAAAGAGCAATGATACGCAAGTGCTATAACAAGTCTCAGTCAGTCTAACGTAGCAAGGTGTTGTTGTTTTTTTACTTTTGTAACTTTTTTCACGTTCGCTCATTAATGAGAAGTCGCTGATCAGACAACACTGTGGCTTTAGTTGAAAATGTCAAGTTCTGAGTGTTTTATAAAGCAATGCTTCTCTGAAATCATATCCATTATGAGGGTTAAAGGGTGAGAGTAATCAGATTACTTTTTTAAGTAACTAGTAAAGTAATGCTTTATTTGTTTTGTTTTTTTATTTAGAAGTAAATATCTGAGTTACTTTTTCAAATAGGTAACTCCAGTTACTTTGTATCCCATGTGTTGACCGACAGCTCTCGTCTTGAGAGAAATCGAGAGTAAATACGGACATGCGTTTACTCACCTCACCTGCACAAAAACAGATTCAGCGTTCCTCAAAATGAATAAAAACAGTCAGATGCAAACTCAGAATAATAAACAAACCTGCAACAATTAAATATGTTAAATAAAAAAAGCTGGTCAGATTTAGTCAGCTGTCTTAACCGTGGCTTGTGTACTGCATCATCACTGTGTCTGTCACGCGACTCTGATCCAGTTCAACCGTACTAATAAGCAAAAATCCCACATTTGTGTTTGATTTGTGTTATTGCTGAATAGTGTTGAATTTCTTCTGCGTCATACTCTTCACACGATTAGTTTGAGCGGCGCCCTCTACTGTACAGACGCGACTTTACGTTTCCTTCAGCCTGAGGCACTTCTGTTGTGAAAGGGCTTTTACTTTATTTGTAAAATAACTTGTTTATATTGAAAACAAACAGGCAAGCCCTGCCCAGATTTAAAAAGTAACTCAAAAGTAACGTAACGCATTGCATTCCATAAAACGTAACTAAGTAACGTTACTTTTCGTGGAGTACCGCGATATTGTAACGCATTACTTTTAAAAGTAACTTTCCCCAACACTGCTTGAGATTGTGAAAGAATCGTTTCTAACCGGTTTCTGAAAGATCCGACTCCAAGTGCACAGTTCCCATCGTTTAGTATCGTACTCGGAATATAATGCTGTCCACAGAGCGCAGGACGGTTACCGTGAGCTGGTCTCCTGATAAGGCCGGGAACTGCGGTCTCTTGGCCGCTACCGTCTCCACCTCCGCCGCGTCCCGCTTGCGTTTATGACTCCGCTTTGATTTGACTTTCTCAAATGTGTCTGTGTGTCCGTCGCAGCGCATAGTAGCGCTCGCCTCCGCGGGCGTGTTTGACCCCAGCTCCATCGCGAAAAGGGATTTTAAACGCTACAGTCGAGCAGAGATGTTTACCACGAACATGTGGCTTCTGCCATGTTACAGGAAGGACCTTATAGCTGCCCAACCAGTGCCAAATGCTACAACTTATTAAAAATAAGCAGCTGGTCAGAGAGGTCAGATTTAGTTAACGTTAGCTGGACAGCAAACACGTGAAGATCGAGCCACTTTCATTAGCGCTAGCCGCTGTCTAGAAAACTCCCAACGCCTGGTTGTCATGGCAACAGCGGAGCGGTTTGTTTATACGGGCCTCGTTCGGTCTCCCTCTCAGTGTAAACAATTCTAGCCTAAACGAGTTTTCAAATAGCTTTTGAAATGTAATTATTAACAACCCAAAATAAAATGTCTTAAACTTAGTTTAACTGGTCAGTTCAAACTTTATGGGGGGCTATTTTTGATGTCAAATAACTTATTAATTAATTAATTAATTAATTATTATTATTATTTGGCAGTTGTATTGTGCAAATACTATTTATCATGAATTTAATGTTAATTACCAATGATGTGAAACTATTTCCATATTTGTTCATTCGGTCCTGCAGTGTGATATGTGGTGTTTTATAAATAGGCTGCTGTCCAATGATTAATCGTGATTAATCGCATCCAAAATAAAAGTTTTTGTTTACATAATATGTCTGTTTACTGTGTATATTATATTTTGAAAATATTTACATGTATCTGCATGTATATATTTGTATTCATATAGTTTATATTCTATATAAATATACTTTAAATATATAAACATAACGTAGTTTTCTTAAACGTATATACGTGCATGTTTGTGTGTATTTATATATACATAACAAATATACACAGTACGCTAGGGATGCGCCGATCCGATATTCATATCGGGTATCGGCTCCGATAGTGCTATTTTTCTCGGATCGGATATCGGTCAGAGAGAGCCGATCCAAATCTGAGATTTGTTTTTTTTCTCGATTGTGCGAATTATTCTGTGTTACTTCTGAAGCCTTACGATAGCTTAATGTGAGCTACGTGGAATTTATCTTCTTGCCGGAGTTTAATGTTGTTTTGTTACTTGCTTACCGGGTGTCTGTGAGAACAAAACACGTGTGTAGAAAAGACTATAAATAGTTTTTAACGTGCACAGTAACTGAAATTTAAAACTGTTAAAAGAAAGGCTCAATAACTGTTGCACAGATATAATACACTAC